CGATACAGATGGATACGGCGATAAGGCGCACTGATCTTTTTACAGTGTTTTAACGCAATCTAAAGTCTATCGCGATATGAGCGCGAATTAACGTGATACTTTTAAAAAATATTAAAACACAGACAGGAAACACGTTGAAGTAGGAGAACGGTAGAAAACGTAATTATTTTCATTATTGTTTAAGTATTAATGTTTTTTTGTAACTAAGTATTAATTGTTTTTTACTTTTTAAGTTTAAGTGTCTCTTCGCACAGTTATCATGGTTTATGTTTCTTTTCTATTTCGACTGAAGAATGACGAATCATAGTCAAAAATGTTTAACTGAAAGCTTTTTTGAGAGTATACGTCCTTTCCTTTTTTAACACGAAACAAGTCCATTAATAAACTCTTTTTTATTACTCGTTTTGTTGCATTAGATTCAATCACCGACACTTTTGAATTCCAGTTGTTATTATGTCCCTTTTGGAACTAACGTTGAGCAATTCAAAGCCTTGTCCAACAAAGTCTTTCTTATACTCACCTTCTCGTTCGACTAGTCTAACCAATATACATTCCATCACAATCACAACATTCATACCCATAGACCACTCCTATTGAATCTTTATTTTTCTATCTAACTGTTGAGTTGAACATATGTGACAAACGGTGGCTAGATTTGAAGACAAAAGTCGCCTATTTCAACGAGCGTTTGAAGAAATATAAACTTTTTCACACGTTTATTAAAAGCCAGCCTTTTTGTGTTAATTCACCTAATTTTTGCACCTTCGATAGTCTTACTTATAAGTAAGATGATTAGAGATGTAAAATGAAATACTATTATAAATGAAGAATAAAACTAAATTAACACCCCTAGTTGTATGACTACGTTACATACTGAAATGAAGTAGTAGAATCTTGAGAACGGCTTGTCCACCTAACGCGACACTTCGCTGATTAAGTATTTTTTTCAAAAGTAAACAAAACCGTTTATATCTTATGTAGAGCATAGTCGAAAGTGTCAGAAAATGTATTTTCTTCTTTTTCAAGTGAGTTCTGTGAGTCGTTACACGATGCGCAGTAACTTGAACGAACGATCCTGTTCGTCACATGTTTTGTGCTCTTGTTTTCAAATTGATAGTGCGTTTTACTGTTTTGCTCCAAACAAGGGATAAGCAATGGTATCTAGACTATCAAGTACGGCCTTTCTTTTGGCGCTAGAATGAAGTCTTTTCGTGACTGAGTCTTTTTCTTGAAATGAATAAAGTCTTTTTCTTCACTGAGATATAGGCAAAACAATACTTAATAATTTCGCCTGTCATAGCGTTACCAAAAGATGTTTTTTGAAAAATTTGAGCTTTTGGAAAAATCCTTTATAGTCGAAAAACTTGAAGGGAACCGCTTTTTTTCGAAAACATATGATTTTGCAAAATCACCTTCTGTTTTAGCCCCAATTTCATTTTCGATTAATCGACTCATTGTTTTCAAAAATTCATCTTCATCATCACTCAATGTCAGACAAACATTCTAGATATTTTCTTTTCTCACTATTGAATTAGTTGCGATTGAATTACTCTATTAATTCTCATATTCAAATTAATAAATGCCATATAAAGATCGTAACGACTGAAATATTCAAAAATTTCTAAAAGCACTTCATCGGACAATTCTAAACATAAAAGATTATACGTATTCAACGTACCAGCAAAACATTTTCTGAGAGAATGCATGGACTACTAATAGCCTATTCAACTTTGAAATGATCGATTTTTACGTTAGCCTAGATAGATATAAGTTGATATCACAATATGCAAAATTTTACGAGTATTGTACCCAAACAAGATTTCAAGAGGTAGTTTGAGACCGTTTAGCCACTTTCCGAACCAGAGGTATTAACAGCAACTTTTACATTAAGAATATGCACGTCTTTGTTTGTAAGAGTTTTTACACATCATCAGATAGGTTTCAAACTCCAGTTATTTTACTCTTCGAAATTTATAGGTTCAGTATTTGGTTAGGTAGCAGAGGTGCAACCGGTATCGGTATACCGGTACCGAGACGAATTATAACGCCGACCGGTTTACCGGCATTAGTATGAAGTATGATCAGTCGGCCGATATTGCTGGTATTTTGCGGTATGATAAAAAGATGGACACACTAGAGAACCGGGGTCTTATATCGCGTCCTAGCGCTCATAACTGAAGGGGGTCTTCTAAAGCGTCCCTGAAAAAAGCCGATTTTAAGCTGAAATCGCTTGATCGAGAGTTCTCACTGTGTACAAAGCTGTGTACGCACACATTTCTTTTTGTCTAGCAGCTGTAAATTCACTCTAACCCAGGTCGTCCATTTCGGTGTCAGGATCCTGCCGGATCCAACATCGGAACATGCCGGAAGTTGGTGGAATTCGGTAAAATCCGGCAGCAACCATACCGAATCATGCTAGAAATCCGTTGCTCGGAATCCGTGCCGGAAGATGTTGGAAAAGATTCGACCGGATCCAACATCTTCCGGGACCTTCCGGCCGATGAATCGGATTTCGGTGGATTTGGGAGAATGTGATCAATTTTAAGGTTAAAAATAGTCTTAAATTTTTTCTTTCATTTTCTAGTGGTTCTTCTCTCTGTTCATTCGAGCGAGTGGAGGAGCCTGCTAGCTAGGACGTGTATAACACGTCCGTTGAACAGTGTGAGCGATGACTCACATTGTTAAGAATTTGAGAAGAACAACTTCTCATTTTTCATTTTCTGCAGTGTCGTACTTAAAGTGCTCCTGTCGTGAAACAAAACGGTGAATATATTATCTGTACTGGAAAGAAAAAAAATAATAAAGTGCACATCGCAGGATCCGTCGATTTCCGGTCACTGGAAATTAACGGACCCGCCTGGTTCCGGATATCTCCGGACCCTCCAGAAAAAAACTATCGGAACGCGAAGGGATTGAGCAGATTCCGATCTCCAGAAATCACCGGAATTAAAAGGATCCGATCGGGTGAATTCAAGGCCACGCGTTCTCTTAATACAGTATGCTCACATACTTTTGGTGTGTAATACTGATTCAATTTTTCACAAATTATTTTATCTACATACCAATTGGGATAACCGTTGTGACCAGCAATTTCTCCAACTTTTTCCCAATTTCAATAAATTGTTGATTTGTAGGGATTCTGAACTGGGATTGTTTTGTGAGTTGGAATAGATAGGGCACTAGACAATGCACTCACAATTATGGATTTTCGACAATTATCGAAATTACAAGGACTTAAGACAATAGTCGAAAATCAGATTGACTTTCGACAATTTGTCGAAAATATTGAGCAAAAACGACAATGCCGAAATTCCGATGCCAAAATGCCAGCTATCGATATTCCGTTTTACCTCAATAATATATCAGCCACACGTCGAATTCGTGATGAGTAACTTCGAATGTCCTTCTAGTTTCTTCTTCTATTTTATTAATATAGACATAAAAAAAAAACAGATTTTCTTGAACAATGTTCTTTTTTATTTTCATTTTGATATATGAATAAATATTTTATCAGTCATGATAAAAACTATTTTTAAAATGTTTGTTTTCATTTCAGATAAAGAAAGTATATTATTAATAAAATGGGTGAATTATCAAGAACAATAATAAAAAGGTGCAATCATAAGTCAGATTTCTGTAATTGCTACAATCTACTTTTATTTTCAGATCTGTTATTTCTACACACGACAATACCGTATTATCGTTGATCGATGCTGCAAGAGATTCTAATCAAAATTTTATTGCTATCTACTTGAATTCATCATATCGTGAAAACGATGAAGATCATGCGAAATTAATACATATTTTCAATAATCTCAAATTATTGTAGAGTTGTTGAATTACCACGAAGAGGAATTGGATAAATTTTGTGATCTACTCTTTACTTTAATACTTCTAATAAATGTTGGACAAAATCTTTTTTGGCTGTCAGTAGTTTATCTTGATCAGTATTTCTATGATCCTGCTGAACTACATGCATTGAAAAATGCTGAGTATTGCAGAATGTTGATGTGAAGGAGACTGTTGTAACAAATATTGGTGAATTGACGATCTAAAATTAGAGATAAAAGAGACAAGTTCAAGACCAATAGCTCGAAACAAAATGTTAAAGTCGAAAGGAATTATTTACTTGAAAAAGAATTCTTTATTTTTAAAAGATTTTTTATTTTACAAGAAGATAGAGAAAATTACAAAAAACCAGCTATTGTGTACGCGTTTCGAATACTCTTTTTCAGCAGAGTAGCTGAAATAATAACAGAAAGGGAACTGGTAACGAATATGAGTCAATCTTTGTCGTCATCTGTTGTTCAGTGTCTACATTTTTCGCGTATTGCTTCATCTTTTCGTTATTATCTAATTTGGGTTTATAAGAATAATTAGCTGTTTTCTATAATTTTCTCCCTTTTCTGGAATTTTCAAACTGCGTCACCGTTTCTGATTGGCTGATTATCGTTGATATGCGGCTATAGATATATGAACAATAGATGGTGGCAAAGATACACTTGCACTGCTTACCAATTCCTTTTCTGCTATTATTTGCGCTAGTCTGTTGCAGAAGGGTATTGAAACCGGATACAAAACAGCGGATCTTTTGTAATTTACTCTTTCTTCTTTTAAAATAAAATCTTAAAAATAAAGAATTCTTTTTCAACTAAATAATGCCTTTCATCTTAACTGTACGTTTCGAGGCATTCGTCTTGGACTTGTCTCTTTTACTTCCACCTTTGGATCGTCAATTCACCAATATTTGGTTTTCCATTTTCATTAAAAATGTGTTTATGTGTACTTCACTCTATTAATAAACCGAAGAAAGAGTGAAGCCATAACTCATATGAATCTCAATAAGCCAGAGACTCAGTAAAAAGAAAAACTACTGTATTTTTGTTTCATCACTTTCCGCAAGAGTTTTTTTAAGCTTTCCGCCAAAATTATACGCCCATGACCGACAATCCTTTGAGAAAGTTTTCTCGTAAGTGCAGGGAATTCGAGTTTTATGTTCTTTATCGTTTTTCTATGACTACATTTAGATTTTTTATATAATCAAGTATCCAAGGATGTTTAGGCGGGAATTGTTTACTAGCAATTATAATTGCTTTTTCAAAACTATCCAAAGCATCGTCATATCTTCCTTGTTCAAGATAAATAACACCCTCATTATTATATACGGCTGATAGATCAAGTGCATATGCATTTTTTGCTGGTTCAACTTCAAATAGTTTTCGAGCTTGTTCATAATAACCCAAAGCTGCCTTGTAATCTCCATAACCATAATAGAGAAGGCCTTGATTATTTCTGATTTTACCAGCTGATGAATGATCGGCTTTTAGTGGTTTTGTTATTAAGTCAATTCTATCATCAAATGATCTGAATTTGGATGTGGTTGTAGTCGAAGGTGGAAATGAATCAGCAGCTCGAAGTTGATTAATAGAATTAGAAACAAGTACATTAATCGATTCGAATGGATTACCGTTAATTTCTATATTCTCCTCTTCTTTATCTTTCAAATAACTTATCGCTATCCGATAATATCCTTCAGCCATTGAATATTCACCCTGTTCATATCGTAAACAACCAAGTTTATTATAAATTGTACTACGTTCATTACCATCGTCAGGTAACTCCTCCAAGAGAAGCGTATAATACCGAAAAGCTTTTTCATATTCACCTAATTCACTTAAAAAATTCCCGAATGTTAACAATGTTGTCTCTTCACCCAACTGCTCTTTTAGGTAATTTGTCAGCTCAATACAACATTCATCATATTCCGCCACTAAATCTAATACAATATTCCACACTTTATCTTCACCTTGATCCACAGATTTTATTCGCCACACGGTACCAATAGAAAATAAGACTTCATGTTCATCGGGAAATGCACTGTGCTTGTGGATTGAAGCATAAGGTACTGGACTATCAATACCAATATTTAATTTAAAAAAAGATCGTTCATATCCGTTTTCTTGGTCACGACTACAGTAAATATCTGCTATTTGCTCAACTCTAGTGGCTGATACGAAACCGTTCATTGACACTAAACCACCAATGTTATCTTTCAAATTGTGTAGTGTAATAGCCCATAAAAGTTTACCTCGATATAAAACTATTGGTGTTAATGTGTCATTACGATTCTGCTTATACAAAATCTCTAATTGCTTATGAATATTGGTGATAATATATCGAAAGGTAAATAAACAATCAGGATCTTGTGTACAGAGAGCTTTATTTGTCAAACGATAACAAAAGCATGATCGTGTATACCAATGTATTGCATGATCAGAAGTAGTTTGATCCAATTCAAATTTATTAATATTATCATTTTCTATATTATCATTTTCTTTTTTATCAGTATCACGATAATATTTACGACTAACTTGAATCATAATCTGCTTTGCTCTGTCAGTATTCGCCATTTTTAACAGAATTTCAATCATTAACTTAAACCAAATAAAATCAATTGAATATTTATTTAAATCTTTAATTGCGCTAATTTTGTCATTTTTTTCATTAAAATAAGTCAGTTTAGGTAATATTTCTTTATACGGTAAATTCTGTTCATTATCCTTCTCAGTTATTACAAATGTTTTTAAATCTGCATAGAGTAGGATTTTGTCACTAAAAATTCTATTTTGAACTTTTAAATAATTTTTTTCAGTCCAATACTGTTCTTCTTGTTCATTTTGACATTGAATGTAAATATGAATAATGTCTGGTCGATCGTGAACTAGTGGAATGACGTGTAAAGCTAATATGCTTGAAGCGATCAATATAATTTGTGTTTTTCCTTTATTTTGAACCAAATAACTTATGCATTCGCATGGCTCTCTAAATGATTTGAGATTATTGAAAATATGTATTAATTTCACATGATCTTCATCGTTTTCACGATATGATGAATTCAAGTAGATAGCAATAAAATTTTGATTAGAATCTCTTGCAGCATCGATCAACGATAATACGGTATTGTC